ACTTTGAGCCCTGAAGGTGGAAAAACTCTGAATAAAAATGTTCTAACTCCAAGACAAAACTCTCAGAGGGACAGAAAAGTTCCAGAGTGGAGCTTTACCTGTACAGACGTGAGGCTCTGACGCCACACGAGAAAAACACACGAGAACACACGAAAACACACGAGAAAAACACACGAGAAAAACACACGAAAAAACACACGAGAAAAACACACGAAAAACACACGAGAAAACACACGAAAACACACGAGACGAGAAAAACACATGAGAAAAACACACGAAAAAAACACACGAGAAACACACATGAGAAACACACGAGAAAAACACACGAAAAACACGAGAAAAACACACGAGAAAAACACACGAAAAAAACACACGAGAAAAACACACGAGAAACACACGAGAAAAACACACGAGAAAAACACACGAAAAACACACGAAAAAAAACACACGAGAAAAACACACACGAGAAACACACGAGAAAAACACACGAGAAAAACACACGAAAAACACACGAAAAACACACGAAAAACACACGAGAAAAACACACGAAAAAAACACACGAGAAAAACACACGAGAAAAACACACGAAAAAAACACACGAGAAAAACACACGAAAAAAACACACGAGAAAAACACACGAGAAAAACACACGAGAAAACACACGAGAAAAACACACGAAAAAAACACACGAGAAAAACACACGAAAAAAACACACGAGAAAAAACACGAGAGAAAAACACACGAAAAAAAAAAACACGAGAAAAACACGAGAAAAACACGAGAAAAACACACGAGAAAAAAACACACGAGAAAACACACGAAAAAAACACACGAGAAAAACACACGAGAAAAACACACGAAAAAACACACACGAGAAAAACACACGAAAAAACACACGAAAAAAACACACGAGAAAAACACACGAGAAAAACACACGAGAAACACACGAGAAAAAACACACGAGAAAAACACACGAGAAAAACACACGAAAAAAACACGAAAAACACACGAAAAAACACACGAGAAAAAAACACACGAAACACACGAAAAAAACACACGAGAAAAACACACGAGAAAAAACACACGAGAAAAAACACACGAGAAAACACACGAAAAAAAACACACGAAAACACACGAAAAAACACACGAGAAAAAACACACGAAAAAAACACACGAGAAAAACACACGAAAAACACACGAGAAAAACACACGAAAAAAACACACGAGAAAAACACACGAGAAAAACACGAGAAAAACACACGAGAAAAACACACGAGAAAAACAAAAACACGCTGCTGTTTCCTGGAACTGAACAGAGCGAAGGGTCAGAGGTCAGAGCGTGTGTGTAAAAACAGATCTAAACCAGGTCTAAACCAGGTCTAAACCAGGTCTAAACCAGGTCTAAACCAGGTCTAAACCAGGTCTAAACCAGGGAGGTCTAAACCAGGTCTAAACCAGGTCTAAACCAGGTCTAAACCAGGTCTAAACCAGGTCTAAAACCAGGACTAAACCAGGTCTAAACCAGGACTAAACCAGGTCTAAACCAGGTCTAAACCAGGTCTAAACCAGGACTAAACCAGGTCTAAACCAGGACTAAACCAGGTCTAAACCAGGTCTAAACCAGGTCTAAACCAGGATCTAAACCAGATCTAAACCAGGTCTAAACCAGGACTAAACCAGGTCTAAACCAGGACTAAACCAGGTCTAAACCAGAACTAAACCAGGACTAAACCAGGTCTAAACCAGGTCTAAACCAGGACTAAACCAGGTCTAAACCAGGTCTAAACCAGGTCTAAACCAGGACTAAACAAGGTCTAAACCAGGACTAAACCAGGACTGTAAAAATGAAAATTTTCTTTTCAAATTCTTCTAATCCAGATGAATATTTTCAGTTATTTAAAATTTTGTAGAAAAGCGTTTTTGTTTTTTTTAACAGCATCAAAAACAGAAGGACACAGACCCCGCCCACACCGCCACAGGCCCCGCCCACACCACCACAGGCCCCGCCCACACCGCCACAGGCCCCGCCCGCTGGAGTCCACCGGCGCAGCTGATTGGCCGAGCGGGAGGAGGAAAAGTGAAAACACTGTTCCACTTTGTGATGTCATGTTTTTAAACCCGTGGCACCTTCAGTAGAATCATCCGGATCATCTCAAGTCTTGGAAACATGGACCAGGTCTGTGAGTCAGAAGGTTTGAGAATAAAAGAGCGACACCGGAGACTTTACACGTGACACTTTTATTAATATTTGGGACTAAACATCCACATGACTGAAACACACCTCAGACTGTGTCTGTGAAAGAGAGAGCAGACCAGGCTAGAAAACAACCCAAGACACCGATCGCCAAGGAAACGCCAGCAGAAGAATCAGAAGAATCAGAATCAGAAGAATAATAATAATAAGAACAATTCAAAAAAATACTATGTTAAACGGGTCTGTGTCTGGCCCCTTCTTCCTTCAGTACAGTATTTTAGACGCACGATAAAGCCTCACGAGTCCATCAGCCCGAGATCCTCCACGCTGCAAAAACAAAAAACAAAACCTCTACAAACTTTAAAACCAACTCCAGGACAAATCTTCACCTGGATCTGACGCAAGTATGTCCAAAAAAGAATAATAAATAAAAAAATTAAAATGTGTTTTATTAATATTTATTATAAAAACATCACACAAAATGAACTCTGACATTTAAATAATTTAAATAATTAAAACCAGGACTAAACCAGGTCTAAACTAGGACTAAACCAGGTCTAAAGGAGGACTAAACCAGGTCTAAACCAGGTCTAAACCAGGTCTAAAGGAGGTCTAAACCAGGTCTAAACGAGGACTAAACCAGGTCTAAACCAGGTCTAAACCAGGTCTAAACTAGGACTAAACTTGGTCTAAACAAAGTCTAAGCCAGGACTAAACCAGGTCTAAACGAGGACTAAACCAGGTCTAAACCAGGTCTAAACAACGTCTAAAGGAGGTCTAAGCCAGGACTAAACCAGGACTAAACCAGGACTAAACCAGGTCTAAACCAGGTCTAAACAAGGTCTAAACAAGGACTAAACCAGGACTAAACAAGGTCTTAAAACGGTCTAAAACAGGTCTAAATGAGGTCTAAACCAGGACTTAACGAGGCCTAAAAAAGGATTTAAAAAAGGACTAAACCAGGTCTAAAGCAGGAGAAAATGAGATCTTAAAAAAGTCTAAACCAGGAATAAGCCGGGTCTAAACGAGGTCTTAAAACAGTCTAAATGAGGTCTAACCGAGGTCTAAACTAGGACTAAACCAGGTCTAAACAAGATCTTAAAAAGGTCTAGACCAAGACTAAACCAAGTCTCTAAACCAGGACTAAACCAGGTCTAAACCAGGTCTGTAAAAATAAAACTTAAAATCATAATTCTTCAAATCCAAATGAATATTTGGATTATTTAAAGTTTTGTAGAAATGTGTTTTTTGTTTTTTTTACAGCGTCACAAACAGAAGGACATTTACATACGACCACAGGCCCCGCCCACACCGCCACAGGCCCCGCCCGCTGGAGTCCACCGGCGCAGCTGATTGGCTGAGCGTGGGCGCCGTCGTCGTAGTAACGCCCAAAAAGTCCCGTCTTTCCCAGAATCCCACTGGACCGAGGGGGGGGGGGGGTCGAGGGGGGAAGGTCCGTTCCGCGAGGCGATTGGCTGACAGGCTGGGAGGGGGCGGGGCTTCGTACCGGGTTCAGATCCAGTGTCGGTCGGTCGCGGCGGAGGGAGGGGGCGGAGTCTACCAGCTCAGAAGGTTACTCCGCCCCAACGTCATGAAGTACACCTGACTGGAACCGCCCGAACGAACGGACGCGAAGAACACCTGAGGAAGACGAAGACGAAGACGAAGAGGAAGACGAGAGGAAGAGGAGGAGGAGGAAGAGGAGGAGGAAACGAGGAGAGCAGGAGGTAGAGAGAAAAAGGAGGAGAGTTTTGTTCACAGGGTTTGTTTAATGTGATGTACATTTAAAAAGAACAGTGTTCCCTTAAAGGACTAAACCAGGTCTAAACCAGGTCTAAACCAGGACTAAACCAGGACTAAACCAGGTCTAAACCAGGACTAAACCAGGACTAAACCAGGACTAAACCAGGACTAAACCAGGACTAAACCAGGACTAAACCAGGACTAAACCAGGACTAAACCAGGACTAAACCAGGACTAAACCAGGACTAAACCAGGACTAAACCAGGACTAAACCAGGACTAAACCAGGTCTAAACCGGGTCTAAACTGGGTCTGACCTTGTCGTTCCTCTCGCAGAGGAACTTGAGTCTCTGGGCTCTCTTGTGCATAAAGACTCCGTCCAGATGTCCCGTCTCCACAGAGCGGATCTCGATGGCCTTCTCGCCCCAGCCCATGATCTGGTTCGACCGGATGTACGCTGCCGACAGGAGCAGACAGGAGCAGACAGGAGCAGACAGGAGCAGACAGGTGCAGACAGGAGCAGACAGGAGCAGACAGGTGCAGACAGGAGCAGACAGGTGCAGACAGGAGCAGACAGGAGCAGACAGGAGCAGACAGGAGCAGACAGGTGCAGACAGGAGCAGACAGGAGCATTAAGTAAGTCTAAGTAAGTAAGTCTTTATTTCTATAGACATTTTTCATAGACATTTGTCACAAAGACACAGACCCCAGACCCCCCCAGACCCTCAGACCCCCAGACCCTCAGACCCTCAGACCCCAGACCCCAGACCCTCAGACCCCCCCCAGACCCCAGACCCCAGACCCTCAGACCCCCAGACCCCAGACCCTCAGACCCTCAGACCCCCCCCCAGACCCTCAGACCCCCAGACCCCCAGACCCTCAGACCCCCAGACCCCCAGACCCTCAGACCCCCAGACCCCCAGACCCCCAGACCCCAGACCCCCAGACCCTCAGACCCCCAGACCCTCAGACCCTCAGACCCTCAGACCCCCAGACCCTCAGACCCTCAGACCCCCAGACCCTCAGACCCTCAGTGTGGGAGCAGAACTTTACAGCAGGACTGTGACAAAAAGTCCAGGTCCAGATGAAAGAGACATGTGCCCCAACAGCTGCAGGTCTGATGATGACTGGAGGTAAAACTAAACCCACAGAGGAGGACGTCTCTCCAAGGACCCGGTCAAACAGAAGTAAACACCAAGACCAAAACTTCAAGTGAATTCATCTGATATAAAAGTGTATTGAACAGATACATATGTACTCGAGTTTATCAAACTGTTCACCTTTTTTCTGTTCCATTTTTGGTTCTAAAGTTCCATCTGTTTTAAACAGACCATGAATGAAACATGGAACAAAAATTATTTCCCAAATTTCAAAGACCTGAAAATCATGTAAATAAATGTTTGTATTTCATCATATCTTGTGTTATTCCATCTTTGAACTGTTGATGAAGGGACAGGATTTTTTTATTTTATATATATATATTTTTATGATAAAAATGTTCTTGGAAGGACTGACATATATTTTATAGAAATAGTTTCTTTCATTTTGAAGTAATATTAAAGTTTTCAGAAGAAAAAAGTGACAAATGATGTAAAATCCTGCACCTTCTACTTCAGACATGTCCAAACTATGGCCCGAGGGCCAAATGCGGCCCTCAGACAAATTTTTCTCAGACAAATTTTTCTTGGCCCTCAGACTTCCAGGTGAATTGGCTCAAATGACCTTGCATCAATTAAAAAATATTTTTTTACCGCAAGTTTTTTGAAAATCTACCTTGATAAAGCAAATATTTAATATTTAGTGTTTGGTTTTAAAGATCTTTGCATAAATAAAGACTGACGGTTCATTCTAACGTGTTAAACATGCACATTTTTCATGTATTCTCTGTATTCAGCTCCAGTCTGTGGCCCTCGATCGTCCCTCTGCTTCATCTGTGTTTAGATCTGTGGCCCTTGATGAAAAAAGTTTGGACTCTGTTCTACTTGTTTGTACAATTTTCCCTCCGTTACCATGATCTTTCTTAATAAAAAATCTCATGAGTCAAAAAGTCAGAGGTTTTTCAACCTAATCTTGTACCATATGGTAGAAAACTATATGAAGCAAATATTCAAACCAGTTTGTTAAGGATATGGAAGTGAGAACCAAGAGTTATCACTGTTTGGATTTATTGACCAAAAAGTGCTGCATATTTCATTCCCTCCGTTACCGACATGAGTTTTTAAATTTTTTGTCTTGAACTTGAAAGAATCTCACAGGTTTAACTTGACCCTGTTGGAGTGTAACTCTTTCCTACATTCTGATACTTTACTTATTTCAATAGTTCCTCTAGTTTCTGAATAAGAGACATTTGAATGTCAAAAATCTGACCCTGTTTCCTCCGTTAACACTTGACCGGACCCAGTAGTAGTAGTAGTATTTGTAGTAGTACTAGTAGTATTTGTAGTAGTAGTAGTAGTAGTAGTAGTTTTGTAGTAGTAGTAGTAGTATTTGTAGTAGTAGTAGTAGTAGTAGTAGTAGTATTTGTAGTAGTAGTAGTAGTAGTAGTTTAGTAGTAGTAGTAGTAGTAGTAGTATTTGTAGTAGTAGTAGTAGTAGTAGTAGTAGTAGTAGTAGTAGTAGTAGTAGTAGTAGTAGTAGTAGTAGTACTAGTAGTAGTAGTAGTAGTAGTATTTGTAGTAGTAGTAGTAGTATATGTAGTAGTAGTAGTAGTAGTAGTAGTAGTAGTAGTAGTAGTAGTATTTGTAGTATTTGTAGTAGTATTTGTAGTAGTAGTAGTAGTATTCGTACCGACAGAGGTGGGCATCTCTCCCCACTGCAGGACGACGTCTTTGGTGATGCGTCCGTACGTGTTGACGTAGACGCCCTCGTCCTCGTAACACACGAGCAGCTCGATGCCGTCGGTGTTCGGGAGGATGATGATGGCGTGAGACTGGATGTGGGTTTGGATCTGAACACACACACACACAAACACACACACAGACACACACACACACACACACACACACACACACACACACACACACAAACACACACACACACAAAAGGTTTGTGGTTAAAAAAGCTTGGAGGAAGTTCATTGTAAATGAGATTATTTGGAGAAAACAAAACAAAAAAACATGATGCAGGTGTGCATGTGTTTGTATGTGTGTGTAGGTCCTCACGTGTGTGGGCAGGTGTGTGTGTGTGTGTGCAGGTCCTCACGTGTGTCTGTGTGTGTGTGTGTGTGTGTATGCAGGTCCTCACGTGTGTCTGTGTGTGTGTGTGTGTGTGTGCAGGTCCTCACGTGTGTCTGTAGGTGTGTGTGTGTGTGTGTGTGTGTGTGTGTGTGCAGGTCCTCACGTGTGTGGGCAGGTAGATGTCGTACACGGCGCCTGAGTCCACATCGACAGCGTGAAATCCTGAGCAGGAGCCGTAGATGACCTTTAACCTCTGACCCTCCTCCACTGTGAGGTCGACCAGCAGAGGTTTGTGCACCAGGTCCCCAAACGACTGCAACACAAACACGAACTCAACAGGACACGTAAAAACTACCTCCAAACGCTTAAACAACATCCAGGACTGAGGTGGGAGCGTCTGGTGCCCAGGTCTCCCCTCACGGGGCCGGGCTCTGCCTGAAGGAGCGACGTGGGGCCGTCCTCCCTTAGACCCACCACCCACAGGAGGATCCGTACGGGGCCGGTGCAGAGATCTGGGCGGCGGTTGAAGGCGAGAGTGTCGGACATGGAGACTGTGGCTCTGAGGACATGTCACCTCACTGGGGGAGGAGCCTGAGCTTGTGCAGGAGTTGGCGCGTTACTGAGTAGATACAGTCGGCCTCACCTCCAGCACAGTTTGGGCTCTGGAACCCAACTCCTTGAGAGGAGCTGGACTCTGTTTCTCTGGCGTTGGCGGGGGGGTGGTGGGCTGGTGTGGCTCATTGTCCCACAGCTCAGTCGTCATGTGTTGGAGTTCACCTCGAGAGGGTCTCGTCCCTGTGCCTTCAGGTCGGGGACATGTCTCTCACTGTGGTGTCGCCTACGGGAGAACAGCAGTGCAGAGTACTCGAGTACCTGACCTTCTGCCAGGCCCGGGGAGGGACTAGACAGTGCACCGACCGGGGACTCTGTTGTTCTACTGAGGACTTCAGCGCTCACGTGATGACAATGACACCTGGAGACGGGTGACTGGGAGGAACGGCCTCCCTGATCTGAACCCGAGCGGTGTTCTGATGTGTCCTGGACATGTCCCTCAGGAGGTGTTCATGTCCCACCAGGAGGAGGCCCTGAGGAAGACCCAGGACACATTGGAGGGACGATGTCTCTGGACTGGACTGGGAACACCTCAGGTCCCACTGGAGGAGCTGGAGGAAGTGTCTGGGGTGAGGGAAGTCTGGGAGTCCCTGCTCAGACTGATGCCCCCGAGACCCGACCCCAGAGAAGAAGAAGAACATGGATGGACAAACACTTCAGACAACCTCCAGATGTTTTAAACAACCTCCAGACGGACACAACAGACACAAGGATTCAACCGAACGCTTTAAATGACCTTCAGCTTTATTCAAGAAATGTCCCAGTGTCTCTATTTTGGACCAATCTGATTCTGTCAACAGTAAAGAGACATAAACTGACATTTGTTTTGGTAAAATACAGAAAATCTGCTAAAAAAATGATACACAGTAATGTACTGACTCACATGTTAGTCATGGATGGTCTCTGCTGAACAACACACTCGTTTCACAATTTTATTTATTTACCAACCTCCAAAAAACCAGGGATGTGCCAGTGTTTTATTTTGAAATTCTGGTCTCTCTGTCCACTGAGCACAGAACTTTGAAAACAACATGACACCATCTTGGCTTCAGCTTCAGATTTGATTAAACTTCCATGATCCAGAGTCGGACGTGCGCCCGTGTTCACTTCCTGTTTGGAACGCGACGCCTCGTGGGTTAGTAAAGTTTATACAGTCCTTAGATACAGAAGGCTAGATGTTGTGTTCAGACTCTTGGCCGCCATCAACGAGAGAAGATGCTGGACTTTTACACCACATAGGGAACTGAACCAGGACTAGACCAGGACTAGACCAGGACTAGACCAGGACTGATCTTGGACTTGAGAGCGAGAACCCTGAGCCCGTGGAGCAGGACGTCCACAAAGCGCGATCGGGCAACGGCTGCACATGGAGTTCTGCGTCGGTCCTTGCGCCCGCGGTCACCTGACGGTCGCACCTCTGGGCCCGTCCCGACACTCAGGACCATAACGAAGCCCGGCGTAATAAATGGACCAAAACCCGAGGAGGTTCCTGGAGTTATTTCTCAGAAAGCCTCGCACATGAGGTGTTCTGTTGGACATGTGCACCAGATATGCTCATGCTGCTTCAGTATTTCATTTAGTCACTTTATTGTACTTTTAGTCATTACTTTGGTCTAACAATTTTATTTATTTGTTTTAATATAGAATTATTATATTATACTGTTTATTTTGTTTTAGCCCAAGAAAGTTAAATTACATGAACTTCAAATTGGTTGAGCAGGTCTCGAGTTCCATCCATATTTTTCCGTTTCTCCCTGGGTCAGTCTGAGCAGAGACTCCCAGACTTCCTTCACCCCAGACACTTCCTCCAGCTCCTCCAGTGGGACCTGAGGTGTTCCCAGTCCAGTCCAGAGACATGGTCCCTCCAGTGTGTCCTGGGTCTTCTCCTCCTCCCGGTGGGACATGAACACCTCCTGAGGGACACGTCCAGGAGACGTCAGAACAGACGTCCTCCCCTCAGACGCTCCTCTCCACGTGGAGGAGCAGCGGCTCTACTCCGAGCTCCGACCTCTGTCTCTATCTCTAAACTCATTTGTGTCTCTTGTATCGTGGATCTGGTCCTTCGGGTCATGACCAGAGGTGAGGGGAGGAACGGAGACTCAGCTCCTCTTCACCACAACGGTCCGACACAGCGACCGCATCACTGCCCACGCTGCACCTGTCCACCTGTCAATCTGCCCACGCTGCACCTGTCCACCTGTCAATCTCACGTTCCGTCCTCTCCTCACTCCAGAACAAGACCCCGAGATACTTGAACTCCTCCAGTTGAGGCAGAGACTCTCCACCCGCCCGGGTCTTGATGGTTGGTCTTGAGGTTCAGTATTTGAAATAAAAACCTCAAGATTTAATCGTTTGGGGTTTTTTTTGTAATTCATTCCCTGAATATCAAAGAATCTACATCTATGTCTGTGGTGTTTTCTTGTGGCGTCTCACCTTGAAGGCCATGAACTTGTGGTAGGGTTTGGGGGCCCAGGCGTAGACCTCCACAGAGTTCTTCAGAGCCAGAACCAGGAACTTGATCCTCTCGTACTTCACTGTGGAACAAAACACAACACACGACTTTAGAGACACAGAACTCCCCGTGCCTTTTCACGGACAACATTTCCATGACTTTTCCATGACTTTCCAGCACCTACATGTGTAGAACTGATCAGACTTTTAGGTTAAATCTGAAACATTAAATCTTTCCACTCACCTTCTGGTTTGGGATTATAGTTTTGAACATTTTAAATCCTGTCAGTGCATTTACTGTCGTCTATAAACCAGGTCTAAACCAGGACTAAACCAGGTCTAAACCAGGTCTAAACCAGGACTAAACCAGGACTAAACCAGGACTAAACCAGATCTAAAGCAGGACTAAAGCAGGACTAAACCAGGACTAAACCAGATCTAAACCAGGACTAAACCAGGACTAAACCAGGTCTAAACCAGGTCTAAACCAGGACTAAACCAGGACTAAACCAGGTCTATTTCTGAAGTCTCCCACGAGCTCTGAACGACTGGAATCATTTTGAACAAGAATAAATGTGAAACATGGTCCAGGACTAAATTCATTTGGCTTTAAAATCAGAATAAACCAAAAACTTACTACAGAATTCAGTTTAACTCTGAATAAACATTTTCAGTAGGAATTAAGTGTTTACTTGGACTTTTTAAAGCAGAATTCATTTTTACTCAGAGTTAAATATATTTTAATCTGAATAAAACTCTCATGTCTCTGAGTTTTTTCCCGTGTGAAAGACTCTGAGTCTGTTTTACACAAACATGATGTGATAAAGTTTCTTCACAACATGAATCCACGGAAACGTCCATCACAGGGACATGTGTGTGTGTGTGTGTGTGTGTGTGTGTGTGTGTGTGTGTGTATGTGTGTGTATGTGTGTCTGTGTGTGTGTGTGTGTGTCTTTCTCAACCCAGGACAGTCCGTGCTCCTCTGAACCGTCCTGTGTCGTCTCCAAACACAAACACGGCTCAGACGTCCGGACATTTTGGGAACATTTTGGTACATTTTGGTGGGAGCTTGATTTTTTTGCAAGAGTTGACTTTTGCTGAGTAAGAGTTTTGGAAAACGTTGTGTAACGAGCGAAGGAAGAGCTGCAGAGAAAAGGAGAAGCTCTGAACACGAGTCACATTTCAAAGAGATTTGTTTAAAGTTCGAGGAGTTTCAGATGTGCTCGTGTCCAACATTTGGAGGAATTCACTCCTCTCCATGTCATTTACCAAAAATGTTTTTTTTTAAATCTCTGTTTGTTTTTTTTAATGTACATTAGGGAGCATCATTTGCCCAACTTTTTGAATTTTTTTTTTAAATCAATCTGTACCTAGTATCAGTTTTTTACACTTGCCAAAGTAAAATTCCACAAGAAATTTCATGAAATTCTCTTGATGTTTCCTGGGTCGACCAGGACTCTGGAGTTTAGTGTCTGTGGCCTGAAATCTGAGCTGAAACATCAGTTTTTCTTTAATAACATCAAAAATAATTAATTTAACCTGAGAATATCAATGAAATGAAAATGACATTTTGGATCATTTGGAACCAGTTTTTTGTCTCTGTCATTATTCATTGCTGAGATCTGATAAAAGTCTTCAAAGACCTTGAATAAGAAATATTACTTATTAATAATAACAACAACAACAGCAATAATAATAATAATAATAATAACAATAATAATACATATTATATATATTTAAAAAATTATTCTTTTTAAAGTTATTTGAGAAAAACAGATTTTTCTGATTATAGACACTGTTAAGATGGAACTTGGTAAATATTCTTCAAATATTCCACAGATTTTCTTTTATTTGGTTTTGTCACATTTTAAAATTGGGTCCAAGTTGAATTTCTGACACTGCGGCAAATGATGCACCATAATGTACATGAGAATATCGTATGTATCGTATGTAGTAGTGTGATGAGAAGGAGAAAACAATTATACAGTTATAAAAGATAAAAAATAAAAAACAATAAAAACAAACAACAATATGATGTGAAAACTTTTGGGAACAGAATAAAAAGATGAATTTCTTTTATTTAAAGTGGCACTAAACACGACGTCCAGTTCTTTTGCTCTGAAACTGTGTACACAGTATTTAAATATTCTCAAGTATTGGTAGTACAGAATACTACTGTTTGTCGTTTCAAGTACTATGTGACATCACACAGACCTGCCCTGATGACATCCAGGTGTTTCTGAGTCAAACACCTGTCTGCAGGGGCGGAGTCTCAAGTCTGGACACCTGTTCCACCAATCACACTGTTCCTTATAGCTCCAGGCCCCGCCCCTCCTCCAGACCCCGCCCCCCTAAGCCGTTGGCTCCGCCCCCTCAGACTCACCGACTTTATAGTGCACGCAGCCCTCCAGGTCGCCCACCGTGGTCCAGCCCTGCTTCTTCTCCACCTCAGGGTCGTTGTGGAGGATCTTATTCCTCAACCACGACAAGTAGTACACACGCAGCTTATTCTTCTTACCTGAAACACACACAAACACACACACACACACAGAGACACACACACACACAGACACACAGACATGAGAGGAGGATCACAGGTTTATTCTCTACATCAGGTTCCCAAACTTGTGGCCCCATGAGATGATTTGTATTTTCCATTGACAGTGTCGATAAAATACTCGAGACAGTTTGAACTACAGTTCCCATAATGCACTGCTGCCTATAGCACTGATACACACACTATATATGTATATTTATATGTCTACAATAATATACTGTGTTACAAAGTTGAAAAAATGGAGGCTCAAAAAGTACAAAATAATGAAAAGCCTTTAACACGACACGACAGATAAAGTTCAAATCGCTCCAACGTGTTTCAGTTCTTCGGTTTCATCAGGACAAACTCCAGACGGACACAGAGCAGATTTAAAGTCCCAGGTTGGTTTGATTTTAACTTTATCTGCTGTGGTATTAAAGGTTTGTCATTATTCTGTACTTTTTGAGTGTCTCAGTTTTTTCAGTTTTGTATTTGAGCCTCGTCCCTCACTGAAGAGCAGCAGAAGGACAGACTCTGTTTACTGTAGCCCCAGAATAACACAGTCTCCTTGTGTTAGGGCATGTGTTTTCTGAAATGAAAATAAATAGCATAATGGCAAAAAAAAATCTTCATCTGTCTATAGTTGGGTTATTTCTTTGTGAGTACGAGGGACGGCCACTGATTCCATTTTCTTAATCAATCGTCAAGAGAATTAACAATCGATTTTCAATTAATCATTAACGTTTTTCTATTAAAATGATCATCATTATTATTACTATCTGCACTAATCTGCATCAATAAATTCAACTTTACGACATATAAACATAACGACTCTAGATCCACATCAGCTGTTTGACATTATAATGTGTTTAATTCAGTTTTGTTCAAATCTCACAGAAACAAAACTTAAAACCACATCACTAATTTACATAAACTAAGTGAAGATAAAACTCCAGCTCTTGTGTCGCTGATGTGGTTCAACTTGTGTTGGATTAAAAGACATGACTCAGGTGAATACAGGTCAGTGTGACCAGATTTGTGTTTGTCAAAACCAGGACAGCGTACGGGGGGAGGGGGGCGGGGCCTCGTCATCCACATTGAGCGACTCTCACCTGGAAAAACGTGTTCATGTTTTTCTGTGTCCTGGTGCTTCGAGGTCCCTGACACACTGGACACCGACACATATGTGCTGCAAATCACTTCTTCTTTGAGACGTAACAGATCTCTTCATGAAGAGATGGAGTCCCATGTTTGCTCTTTTATTCCAACAAGCTTAGCATGTCTTATTTATTTATTTATTTTATTTATTTACTTATTTTTATGATTATTTACGGAAGCTCTGAGAGGCAAGAGGAAAGAAAAAAAGAAGCCGATCATTTGGGCTCTATTTTCTAAGTGTTTTTTTTCTACCAAAAAAAATAAAAAATTCTAAAAATAAAAAAATGTCCACCAAATTTTTTTCTACAATTTTTTTTTCTCTTGTGTTTTTTTTTTTTTTTTTCTTCCGCACCTCAGTCCCGCTAAAACCAGAGGCAGTGCGGCGTTCTGTCTTCCAGGGTGGAGCAGATCCCTGCTCTCGCTCACAGAATGACAGTGCATCAGTGATGCATCGATCTTCCTTCTCATATTACTCATAAAAGAGAACATAAAACATAAAACTCATGAAAAGACTCGATTCAGCTAGAATCAAAACACACAACCCAGAACGTCACAGCATGAGCCAAACTTCCGGCAGCTGAAGTGTGGAAGTTATAAGAATACACCAGGAAAACACTTAGGCTCTGAGTTTTTTTTTTTTCGTCAGCCACATCAACAGCGAAAAAAAAAAAAAAAAAAAGCACAAGAGAGAAAAAATTAAAAAAAATTGTAGAAAAAAAATTATCGAAAAAATGTGTAGAAACAATTTTTTTTTGGAGAAGTTTTTTATTTATTTATTTTTATTTTTTTGAGTTGATGAAAAAAAAAAAAAACACTTAGAAAATAGAGCCCAAATGACCTACCTCTTTTTTTTTTTTTCCTCTGGCCTCTCAGGGCTTCCGTAGTTATTATTAAGTCTTTGTTTTGTTTTTTAATTTGTTATTATTATTATTATTCATTATTATTATTGTAAATGTATAACTGTCTTTGTCGTTGTTATTGTGTTTGTTCTTTTTCTATATACTTATACTTATACTTATACTGCATTTGTCCATTTGAACATAGATGTAACCGGTTTTGTAACTGACTAAAATGCACAAGCTGCGATATTTTAAACTTAATAAAAACAAAACAGAGTTAAAAAAAAATAAAGTGTTCAACATAAATAAATAAATAAATATCGGCCTTAAACCTCCAGCACAGTTTTGGTCGACCTATCGCCTAAAGAGCAAACGTAAACATTTATTATGAAAACTGCACAAACCGTTACTCCACAGGTTAAACCCCCCGGCCTCTTCCTCTTGTGTCTCAACTGCCCCACGCTCGCAGGATGTTGTGAAACTGCCCGGAGACGTCGTGTGTTTGTGTGTGTTTGACGTGTGCGTATGTGTTTGGCGTGTGTGTGCGTGTGTGTGTGTGTGCGTGTGTGTGATGTCATCCGTGTAACGTGTGTCACGGAAAATGTTCAGTAAATTCCGCAGAAACGCACACGGACGCATCACCACGGCAACGCGCCACAAAAGATAAGAAATGCCCGAGCTGCGTCATCACGAGACGACCTGACAGGACCCACACACTCCGGTACTGCAGGAAAAATACTTCACACACCGAGTACTACAGTCAATGGGAGTAGGAGCTGCAGTGTAATAATAATAAAATCCAGTGGTATTTGCAGCAGGATCCATTCACTCCTCGCTGTGACCTGGTGTGACCTGGTGAGACCTGGTGAGACCTGGTGTGACCTGGTGAGACCTGGTGAGACCTGGTGAGACCTGGTGTGACCTGGTGAGACCTGGTGAGACCTGGTGTGACCTGTGACCTGGTGACCTGGTGTGACCTGGTGTGACCTGGTGAGACCTGGTGAGACCTGGTGAGACCTGGTGAGACCTGGTGTGACCTGGTGAGACCTGGTGAGACCTGGTGTGACCTGGTGTGACCTGGTGAGACCTGGTGTGACCTGGTGTGACCTGGTGTGACCTGTGACCTGGTGAGACCTGGTGTGACCTGCAGCCACACGGAGCAGTGTCCCCAACCTGTAGATTCGATTCCTGCTTGGGCCAAGTTCTGTTGTTGTGTCCTTGAGCACGACACGTCCCCCTCCTGGCCCAGTATGAGAGGGAGTGTGAGTGATGGTGCAGACTGGACAGAACTTCACCTCCACAGAGAAGGACGGGAATAAAGAAGGACACGACACACACTTCCACCTGTGACTCTTCACTACTGCACACTGTTCTTCTTATTATTATCATTATTATTAAGCCACAGCTGCCCTGGGGCAGACTGATGCAAGTGAGGCTGTAAATCTGCACCATCGGCCCCTCACTCAATCTGTCCCTCTAACACAGGGGTGTCCAAACTTTTTTCATCAAGGGCCACAAATCTAAATGCAGACGAAGCAGAGGCCGATAGAGGCTGTAGACTGAAGCTCAATACAGTGAATAATTGAAATATGTGCATGTTTAACATTAGAATGAGCCTCAGTCTTTATTCATGCTAAGATCATTAAAACCACACACTAAGTATTAAACATTAGCTTTATCAAGGAAGATTTTCAAAAAACTTGCAGTAAAAATATTTTTTTATGATTTAATGATGCAAGGTCATATGGGCCAATTGACCTTGAAGTCTAAGGGCCAAGAAAAATTTGTCCGAGGGCCGCATTTGGCCCCTGGGCCATAGTTTGGACATGCCTGCTCTAACACGTTCATCTGCTGAGTACTGCAGGAATAGTACTCATACTATTTGTAGTATTCCTAATATTACTCCTAGTATTTGTAGTAGTATTTGTAGTATTTGTGTTAGGGATGGGCATGATTGATCGATTAATCAATAATTGATCATTAAGAATTTCCTTGATTACGTTACTTTTAATGGACAAACTGAATGTATGTTTGTGTGTCGTGACCAAACAGGTGTGTACATGTGTCTCTGCATCAGAAGGAGCGAGACACAAACAGTGGGTCAGTCTGTAACGAACCGAAGCACAAATGTGGATTTAACCAGGATTTGTAGAAGAAATTCCACACTTTCCGTTGCGTTGGGACAAGTGTGAGTCCATGTGCACAGTGGATAAAGCAGCACATATGTTTCTGTGTCCAGTGGGAAAAAGTTTTTCCAGGTGAGAGTCGCTCAATGTGGATGACGAGGCCCCGCCCCCCTCCCCCCGTACGCTGTCCTGGTTTTGACAAACACAAATCTGGTCACACTGACCTGTATTCACCTGAGTCATGTCTTTTAATCCAACACAAGTTGAACCACATCAGCGACACAAGAGCTGGAGTTTTATCTTCACTTAGTTTATGTAAATTAGTGATGTGGTTTTAAGTTTTGTTTCTGTGAGATTTGAACAAAACTGAATTAAACACATTATAATGTCAAACAGCTGATGTGGATCTAGAGTCGTTATGTTTATATGTCGTAAAGTTGAATTTATTTTCTGACGATCGATTAAGAAAATTTCATCAAATGCCCGTCACTAGTTTGTAGTATTTGTACCTGATATAGTGACGAGGACGTTGAGTCCTTCTAACACGTCTGTGCAGTAGTAGTACTCGTAGTATTTGTAGTATTTGTAGTATTTGTACCTGATATAGTGACGAGGACGTTGAGTCCTTCTAACACGTCTGTGCAGTAGTAGTACTCGTAGTATTTGT